GTGCACATGACGAAGCGATCAGTGATGGTGGTCCGCATGTTGTCGTCGCAATCTTCTGGGTCTGGTTGGTCCGCCGGTTTAGTTGGCGCAGGGCCAGGCTTCGGCCCACAACCGCCCGGAACGGTACAACCTGGGAGGCTACAAAGTTCTGGCGGGCATGGATCACACCCTGTTGGACCTGGACAGTATCCGTCGGCGCCTATGATACCCGTAGGCCGCGGGCCGGTATGACAACCGAAGAAGATGCACGGGTCACAGCCGAAGATACCACATGGAATGGTGAGCGAAATGGGCGGAACGACATCTTCAGGGCAGCCAGGCCCGAACCCTAGTCCCGCCCACCCGCATCCACACCCGAAAAGCTTACATTTAGGGTTCGTAGGTTTTGGAAACGATGTCGGCTTTGGCTTTGGCGGCTTGACTGATGGATCGTCATTGTCGCTATCGCTAGGACTGTCGCTGTCGTGATCCTTGTCACATTTGTGTGGGACACAAAGGCAGAAAGGCCGCTTGAAGAGCAAGAATGATGCGAGTCTCTGTGTGACGCATGCAGCGATACAGTTCTCCTCTTTGCACTCGGGGTCGCTGTCTGTAACAGAGTCTGGATCGCCTGGGTGACCATCCTTACCACCGTCGTCATCCGGGCCAAACCACCATAGATGACACCACTTGTAATTAGCTGGCTCAAGACATTCGTGCGGTGGTTCTTCATCGGGAGGGCGAGGGAACACATAGCCCACACAATACTTTAGGCACCACTCGAGGGAACGACACAATTCGGGACAGCCTACGCCTGTAGGCATCGGACTGGGAGGTATAGTGCTGCTCCCAATCACGATCGGAGCAGAAATGGAGCCACTTGCGGTGCTGCTTCCCGAGACACCAGGAGGGACGATGATGGAGCCGCTTGGGGTGCTGCTTCCACTCGGAGGGATAATGGTGATGCCATTCGAGGTGCTGCTTCCCGAGACCCCAGGAGGGACGATGATGGAGCCACTTGGGGTGCTGCTTCCCGAGACACCAGAAGGGATGATGATGGAGCCACTTGGGGTGCTGCTTCCCGAGACACCAGGAGGGACGATGATGGAGCCGCTTGGGGTGCTGCTTCCACTAGGAGGGATGATGGTGATGCCATTCGAGGTGCTGCTACCAGGAATTCCAGTGGGGATGACGATGGAGCCACTCGAGGTAGTGCTTCCCGGGAAACCAGGAGGGATGATGATGATGCCATTCGAGGTGCTGATACCAGGAATTCCAGTGGGTATGACGATGGAGCCACCCGAGGTAGTGCTTGCCGTGAAACCAGGAGGGATGATGATGATGCCAGTAGAGGTGCTGCTACCAGAAATCCCAGTAGGGATGATGATGATGCCTTCTACAGTAGTGCTGCCTTGGACTGAAGTCAATCGAGTGCTCGGGATTGCGCTTCCAGACGATTGTGCAGCCGAACTGCCTTGAGCACTTGACTGAGCCACAGAAGATGAGCCAGAAGGCGCGACGAGTGATTCAGACGCGGACACAGAGGTACTAGGTGATGCCGATGACCATGCAGTCGAAGTGCTACCGGCTTGGCTGCTCGATATACTCGTGGGCGCTACAGATCCCGCGGAAGAACTCCACGCTCCAGAAGATGGGGCGGCTGATGATCCAACGACTGAGCTTGTCGGGGCGCGGGAAGATGGTGCAGTAGAGCTTCCTTGAATTGAGGATGCAGTGGGGGGCGGCACAACGACACTTGAGCCAGCTTGAGAGGATATTTGACTGCTCCAAGCTGCGGTGGACGACGGGACAGAAGACGGCACGGAGGATGCCCACTGAGAAGACGAGGATGCAGCTTGAGAAGACGAAGACGCAGCTTGAGAGGACTGTTGACTGCTCCAAGCTGCGGAAGACGACGGGGCAGGAGGCGGCACCGAGGACGCCCATTGAGAAGACGAAGTTTGGCTGCTCCACACAGTAGAGGATGGCGGAACAGGTCCTTGCACTGATGATGGAGGCGCGGAGGCTTGCACCGAGGATGCCGACTGAGATGATGCAGCTTGAGACGAGGGCTGACTGCTCCATACCACTGAGGATGGAGTTGCGGAGCCCTGTACTGAAGACACGATCGATGGGGGTGGGACAGCGACTGCAGAGGACGGGCTCGCAGAGCCTTGCACCGAAGACACAATGGACGGTGGCGGGACAGCGACTACAGAGGACGGGCTCGCAGAGCCTTGCACCGAAGACACAATGGACGGTGGCGGGACAGCGACTACAGAGGATGCGGAAGGTCGAGGTGAGCCTTGTATCGAAGACACAATTGTAGGCGGTGGTATAGCGACCACGGAAGACGGAGGCGGGCGGGGAGAGCCTTGCACCGAAGACACGATGGATGGAGGCGGGACAGCAACCACGCTGGAGGCGACCGGGGGATAGTGGACGCTGGTCGGTGGAACGACGGTACCTTGTACAGATGTCGTGACCGAGATCGGGTCGGTAGGAATTCCGTATTGTCGGGGAATTAAGATGGACGAGGGATCCGCCGCACCCTGGATTTCAGCCTGTCCGCTGCCGACCGTAGAAGCGACCGTAGAGGATGGAGAGCTGCCGGCGTAGCCACCGGTAGCGGCCAGCCCTAGAAGAGTGAAGACGGAAAGGCGCATCGTCGGAAGCTGCAGTCGTCGTCCGCAATTGCTTCGATTTTGAAGAGGGCGAAAGAGGGTTGAAAAAGCGAGTGGAAGGCGCGGTGGAGGGGAAGCTGTACGAGGCCGGTGAGCGCGAGCTGATATACAACGGAAGAGCTAGGCACAAGCGCTAGTCGGGTGGTGAGGGTCTCGAGATTAGGGTCCGTGAGGAAGGCGCGACAGGGTGAGGGGCAAGTCCGCGTAGGCAACGGCGTGGCCAGCATGCTAAGTGAAAGAGTGTGCGGCCGCACACCGCTCGGCCTGGCAGAGGTGTCTAATGAATTGGAGCGCAAATATCTCTATCCTTGTCACCAAGAGAGACCGTGGCAAGAGCCTCGAGGTCATTCCTCTGAGCTTGTAGTCATTGAACCCAGTCCGTATCATCACTGCTCTTGCTCCTGGAAGTGACATCACGTTGTACTCTTAGCAGGATTGTCGTGTCCACTTCTCTTCCTGATCCTTGTACTTCCACATCAGTTGTACGTATATACCGGGTTTCAAACTCACGTAAGAGCTGTTGACGATCTAGCTGCAAGTAGACACCCATCGGTCTGGGTAGGCATGCTAGTGGGACTCGATTCACTCGGAGATTCGAGGTTAATACGCTGCGACTCACATTGATGATTCTAACAAGCATGAGACGCGTATTCCAAGCATTCTCGTTATCGAAACAGACCGGTCTGAATAGTTGCGACGCAACTGACTGCCACTCAATGGACTGACGTTGCAAGCGTATGCAACATCGTGAAAAGCGAAGACAGCGTCAGAGGGTAAGTTATTGGAGATGGTGAGATGAAATGTGAACGACTATGACGAGATCATATCCAATGTCTACGTGGAAGCTGAACTCGAAAGGGACTGAAGTCTAGTTGCAGCACACGGGCGAACGTGGATGTTTTCCGAAGCAAACGGATGCGACGCTGCAACCAGTATAGGTCTGAAAAAGATGAGAAAATAGCTTGGGCGGTAGGCAGAGCGCTGATTGAGAGATGAGGATAAGTTGCGTTGATGACCGCACGTTTGCTGGTGACAACGGCAATGATGAGATGGATGAGGAGACGAGCCACGCGAAGAGCGTACCTAGAGACGCGACCGCGATGCCCCACTTTCCGTAACGCGCTAGACACGCGTCAGGCGCCCCGCCGTCCCCGGGGCCTGCGTTCTTCGTCGAGATGGCGGCTATCACGTCATCCATGATACAGCACGTCCAGATGCTACCACACTGTACATCTGCATTGAATTTATTACCTTGAATTCCTTCCGGCCAGACTCCACACTAGAAACGCGCGCCAGCACCTATCCCCGCCTGATGCTACGGCGCATGCGCTCCACGATCATCCGTCCTCCGCGTCCCTCACGTTCTACACGTCTCGTCGATTCGCTACCTATACAAGCCGTAATATTAGTCCGCGATACGCTCGACTCGGCATCATATCAGTCCACTATATAGCCCAGTCCGCAGGAATATCCCTGAGAGATGCAGTCATGGGAAAGACTAGGCTAGAGGCAGCAGTGTGCTTGAGAACGTCGCGCTACATCCTGTCTATCATAAAGCTTGTGGACCTGCATTGCTATTTTCATCCAGAAAGCAGTTGTGCATGAGCCCGGGTACACGCCCACGCCTGGGTCTTGCACCACCTGCAAAGCCTTTGCTCTAGCCCTATGAAGATGCGTTTGGGTAGCCGGACATGGAATAGCCACCGCGAACATTTGTTGGATCGACGACGTTGAAGACTCATGGGTTCCGATGAGCCTCTGAATAGAATACGACATACCTCATTTTTCTAGCTCAATCGTCGACAGAACCTTCTCCGTGGCATGAGTACCGAGGAGATGACTGGCTGACTGAGGTACGAAACAACCAGTGATTTGGGGTTCTGTAGTTCTCAGAAAGATTGTTTCGTATGGCTTTCGATATCATGGCTTTCCGGTATATGGCATTTTCATGTCCGAATGCTTCGCGGCTACATTCTCACATCCCGAGGTCACCTTGACCGCATTTAGCAAATTGAAACCAATGTCAACCATACATATAGCGTGTTATGTGGCCCTGGACCAGAGGCTGGGTAGCTTAGGAAAACGTCTTTACGCATCACACAACCCGTGGCCAAGCATGCTTCATCAGTGGTTGCACTTTCCTTTCCAAGACCTTCGTCATAGAAGACACGCGCGCAAATTGGGATGTGGAACAATCGCTCCTTCACCTACGAAGTCACTGTGGCAGCCTCCAATAGCCGCTAGTCTTGCGCCTTGCCTCTTGTATCACGCTGTTCGTCTTGCTGACGTTCCTTGTATCTGTTGCTTCGTTCAGTTTCCCTGGCAGCGATCAGCGACATGACCTTCGTCACCGCCCTTGTCGTCGCGGTTGCCATACACACAGTTGTCGGCAGTATCAAGACTCCGCTGGCCTCCGCACCCATCTCAGACCGCAACATCACCCGCGTATCTTCAAATTCGACCAGCCGTGAACCCAACGGACTACACCCTACGGTGGCCTTCTGGGACGATGATTATGCCGCGGAGGAGGATTGGAACAAGAATGCAGCCAAAGGAGGCGCCTTGATCTGTGGTCTCGAAGGCTCTGATCAGACCGCAGGCCGTCAGATGAAAGATACTCGCGAACCCCCATCTGCTGCAAGGCCTTACAATAGTGACCTCAAGATAGAGCTTCAGGACTGGTACTGGCGAGAAACTAGCTCATCGTCGTTCAGCTGCAGCTTTTCTGAGCACTGGCATTTCTCACATGCGATGCGCTCACTTGGTCTCGACGGACGGCCGACTTCAGCAGGCGGAGATAACCAGTGCTATAGGGTCGAGCATTGGGACCCAGAGAAAAGAGATAATGAGGGCAACCAGATCCCGGCTATCAATCAGTGGTACAGCACAGCAGGTAACAACAAGCAATACAGAGTGAGTTTAGGCTTGCGTATGAGCAGTAGTTCGATGCTGACGGCGTTACAGGCAACAAAGGCGCATTTTGAATTCGGAATCAACACCGAAGGAGGCGCTATCTATGGTCTCTTCCTTGAAAGCCCTCAAGCATCCGCCAAGACTATCTGGGGCGGTGGTACGAAGGAGCCGAACAAAGACGACCTACCTCAACTTCGCGCTTTCTCAGACATCATCTGGGGATTTTGGGTTCGTAACAACCCCAATATCAAGAACATTCGCTACTTCTTCATGATAGCCATCTCCAACGAGGTGACTAATCAAATCATCGCTTCTTGTCTACGCGACCGTAACACCGAACTAAGCGAGTGGCCGGGAACCGACTTTTCTACCACTACGGATCAGGGCCATGCGCTGCTAGGCAAGTCGCGTTCAACTCCGATGACAAATATCAAGACTAACCCAAACCAGGATCTCCAAACGGTGCTGGGTTCGCTTACTTTCTCATGCAGCACAAATTACAACTTGGCCAAAAGACCATCAGCAAGATCACTATCTTCAGGCCGGAAACAGACGACGACGTCAGCCTTGTCGACGCATCTCTGTGTTTCCACGTGGTCGATGGCCCGCAGCCACCACCTGACGATGCTCATGTGGAAGAGACTGATCGCCTGAAAGCTCGACTTGTGCAAGAGACAAATTCAAAAGATTCATCCCCCAACAGCCTGGTCAGGGTCCACGAGATCTATATGTAGCCAACGGTTAGTGGGCGTTTCAGACATGAGGATGGTGTAGGCAGACATGCAAACACAGACTTGATGTACGAATTCCGTGTACTGTCTCCAGGCTTCTACAGTGAGCCAATTTTAGTACATGCGCGAGTATTGTATCTATTCATTTCGAATGCTCCCCTTATTCTGTATGGTAAACAGACATCCGTGGTAATTTCTCAGAAGGGTTATTGCGCAGCGGGAATCTTTCTTAGCGAGTACTGCAAGTAAGGATCTGCCAAATGAGACTACAAGCATATGTTGGGAGCAAAAGGCGCATATTAGCCGTCTTCGTTGTGGACGGCTGGGGGTGTGAAATCGTCTCATCGTCATCACCGAATTAGGGAAGGTGTACCGATGGTCTGTGCGATTGAGCTGGCCATTTCTCTTATTGGATCAGCATTGACGTTCAAACACTCAAGTATTGATCAAGACCACTAATTGCTTCGATGCGCGACCGAAATGGCCCTATTTGGCGCCCACGCATACAGTCGTGAGCGCATGCTGCCCCTAGACATCACGGGCCTGCGCCAATCCGTTCATGCCACATCCTCTTGCGACACATTATAAAGCTACAGATCACAACCATCCATGGATCCCGCACACCAAAGTGCAGACGCAACAACTCGTGCGAAGCAAGACAGGGCATCAACCTGGGTCGAAGGAAGGCGCGTACTCCGTTTCGTTGAAACCGACATCTTCAAAGCTTCTTACCGGATGCGCTCATGGCACAGTTCACAGCTTGCTGGGAGTTTCGCGACCCGATGTTGTTGACTGTGGTCACTCGGCGTATGGTGGAGGTTGTGCATCAGTGCTATCACGCATAGCCAGACGAAGGTCGGTAGGACTGCTGAGGGACGGCGATGAGGGCAGAGGCGCATGAAGACGCGCATTAAATCTCTCGCAAACGGGTTCCAGGTGTGTAAGGTCTGCCGTCGGCCGTGCTGTTTCCCCGTCTAGCGACCCGCTATCCCTCTTCGAAAAGAGGCGTCTCCAGAACCCCGGTCTCCGTTCTGTGAGCGCCTTCCATTCAATGTCCTCTGGATCCTGACATTTGCCAAAGTCGACGTATCTGGAGACACTTACGACATAGGTTGATTTCGGAAACCTCGACTCGTCTGCGCAATTCCCAATGAACAGCCTTCGCGGAGTTATTTCGATGACCACTTCGGTAGGGCAGGCGGTGCACCTCAAGGCTTTATCAACATATCCATCTTTGAGCTCCTCAGGATCGTGGTACGTGTAGAAGCGAGAGACAGCGTTTCTTATACCACAACCCATGGAATATATATTGAGGACCGAGTTCAGGTGTGGACATAACGAGTATGGAATCCCAAATACTACGGCCTTGGGGTCTACATCCTCGACTTCCGGAATACCACTGACCCATCTCTTTCTCAAAAGCAAATGACCATCACAGGGTAATGCATAGATGTCACTGCCCCACCGTTTTGACCCCTGTTGATGAACGCCTTCAGGGCGCAGGAGATTGTGTCCATACCGAGGGGAGTACCGGAATCCGCGCATCGTCTCGTGGACGGTTTCCCAGTCCAACCCGTCGAAATTTGTTGTGCGCCGTTTGCATATCGTCCTGGTCCCGTACTTGAAGGCGGCTGGGGCGTTTTGACCCCAGATATCCCGACTACCAGGTGATTTGCGCTTATGGTATGAGCCGCAATGATAACATATGATATGGTCCGGATAGTGCTTGTCGAAACACAGAACCGAGAACCTCGCTCGCTCTGCCTCATTCCCTTCTTTCTTGATCAGGACGAAAGGGTTCTTGATGGAGCGGACCAATGTATTCGAGTGGTGGCTCGTCATTGCGAACGTCGCCATAGAGGATAAAGGTAGAAGTTCCAATATCGTCCTGGATAAATGCCGAGGCAGTCTGTATAAATGAGTCTGACGGCCAGGTCCCCATGGTTTGGGAATATTCATGGGAGTTTCTGGGTGTTGAGTCATGTCGTAAGTCTGGTTTGGAATTTGCTGGATGCTGTGGTCAGAGATGACTTCTACGCTGTAAACCTTGGAGGGTTTGGGATCTTAGACGATTATATATGCTCCGAAACTCAGCGTTGTGCGTCAGATTTGGCGCGTGCGCGGCTATCATTTTGGGAGGTAACCACAGGCAGAAGGTATGTTGACCATTACGTAGAGCTGATTGGGCTTATCAAGTTGCAAATGCAATGCTCGGTACCGCGGGGTGGCCAGAATCCGTGTCGCATGTTGCTGCATACACATCACTGAATCTTGATAAGCAAACACCTCATGAGCCAATGTATACTTCTACCTTAGAATAATTGTGCAGAATTCGACACGAATCGGCAGCTACCATGGCGTCCCGGGGACCATAGCGACAAGCCACTCACAACTAATGCCATGCGGACTGGGCCAGCGTGGAGTATGATTTTATGATAAGAGTGGCGGTAATCAAGGATAATTCTAAAGAACACACGGGGTTTTACTCCACATCCGTGGAATAGGTCGTAATTCTCACAAGCGGCTTTTGTTCTTACCCCTCGTCTGAACGATTTATAGTCGTCATCGAGCGGAGGAGATAACGCTATCCCGGCGGCGCTTGGAAAACCTTTTAGAACGTCCCAGGATAAACCAATGCGGAGTACTTGGGCAGGCGATCCAGCTTCCGGGTTAGATATTCCGTGATGGGTGCGAAAGTAGTGAGGAACATGAATATTGTAGGTGCGTCTGGGTAGATGGCATTCGTGTCTTGCGTGCCGAAACGACGCACGACGGCTTGTGAGTACTGCACGTAACCGGAGCAGGGTTTGTAGGTGTATACCTCGATAAGACCCGATGAGTTCATTCTGGCAGCTGTTATAGAGATCGGGTGCATCATGATGCTTATGAAAAAAGGTTGGCTATGCATGCTTGCACGCATACGAAGAGAAAAAAGGTCCGGATCGTCAACAACATCTTTGCGGGTGTATAGTAATCAACGGTTTCCTCAGGGTCTTCCCTAGTCACCTACGTAATTTCTGCTTACCTGGATAACCACACGCTGCAAGCGTTGGCGGAAGCGGCTACGCGGCATGCTTCCCATTACAAGATCGAAATAAATGACAGATGCTACTCTATCAACTGGGAGAAAGGTATGGACGCCACAGAAACGAGCTTTGGTGTGACCGTAATGCATGCCCTTATGATGTAAAAGTCACGTGACTTGTACAACCTTCCAAGGTCTCTATCGATGTAGAAGCAATAGTGAAACGATGCATAAAGGAGCCTCCGTATGTAGGGAGACAAAGATTGATACGTCTCGCAAGCGAGTCTATTCTTGAGCATGCGTCCTTGCACTGCGGAGAGCCTGACACAGGACCCGAGTAATCCGCCCATCTGCGCTATACCAAGCCTAGCCGGCATAGCCCCCCAACGTCAACGTTCATTGGCCAAAACACATACTCGGGGGAGTAAACAAAAGATCTTGCTGTCTCACTACTGCTGCGTAGTACCGTTGTCGTGCCGGAGCGACACATCGATTGGCTGACGATGCCAAAAAGCGCCTCGTGTGTACACGCGGCTCTGATGCACTTGCGGCTATGTGCTTTTCGCTGTTGCCTGAGAGATGATGAGACGCTATCCCAGTCGGTGATGTGACTTAAACAGGCCTGTAGACTTCAGTTTGTCTTTGTTGCACCAAGCCATCTGGCTCTTTTCGTCTTCACCTCCATTTTCAGATACCAACAGATTACCCAAACCAACAAGATGATCATGGCGCAGGAACGTTCTCTTCGCGTACTGAATTTGTTTGCCAGTGCCCTCACAACACCTTTCCTCATTGCCATCACCGTTCTCTCGCTGGAATCCCATAGTTACCGGTATTGGTACGACCATCGCGATGTAACTACATTCTGCTTCGGCTATATCCCCCTCGCCATGACTGCGGTTGCTTCAACGGCGAGCATTGTCCACCAACGAAGGCACAATCGTACGCCAGGCCCCAAGTTCGCTCTCCTAGACGGATTGGCGGGTATCGCTTATCTTGCAATACTCATTCCGATCTGGGCAGTCGAGGTTGACGATCTGGGGTCAGCGGGATATGGCTTCTTGGCTGGATACGCAACAGCTCCCATGATTGTCAATATGTAAGTTGTTCAAAGTCCGAGCCAGTCATCAGTAGGGTTGCTAACATGATGACAGGTTTGTCCACTTCTACTTCTTTGCTTGCAAGGCTCGAGCAATGTGGTTTGCGTTGCGTACTCCGACGGTACATGAGTGCCCCAACTGTCACCACAACCTGACGGTGGGCACCCCACAGATCAGAGAGACGAACAAGGGTGGAGCGCGGTACAGCTTGCTGCGTGGAGAAGACTATCTCGATGCCGACGCTGATGCCGAGCGCTACATCGATGAGAGCGCGAGGTCTTCCGAGGAGCAGCTCCGACCTGAGGGTGATGACAAGGAAGACAAGGGCAAGTCCAGCATCGATGTCTGAGATGTGACCTGGCCTGGTTAGCTCTCGAGCTCTCATGTTGTCGCATCAGAAATCACGCCTGAGTGTGAAACGATGAAGGGATTGGCGCTGTGATATCGGATATATTGCGAAACGACTCGCATGAGGGAACCGTTCTGCGGTCAAAGTTAAACGAGATTGGTCTTGCGGTGATGGTGCAAGAGAGACGTATCATGTGTACGACACATCTTTTCTTAGGCTGGTGGGATATCTGGGATTCATTCGCGAAGGGTTTGCGCTGTCGTTATTTATTGGGCTCAACGTATCTACATCTGTTCGATCATACGTTCGTATCATATGTGGTTATATGCATCAATCGATTGCCTATTCAGACATATTGAGGCGGGAATCTCTCGCCTTGATCCCACTGCAGATTGCCACGTCAGTGATGATTCTCTTCTAGTATGAGAAGTAAGACTTACATGCTCCGCAATACACCCTCCCTCCCATCGAAAACGGTCAACGACTTCCCCAAAACTTCCGGTGCGATAGTTAAGCCAGCTTTGTGGGG